CGGAGACCTGTCTCAGTAGCTGTTAACCCACAGCCGTGTCTCTTTCTTTGGCTTCTAAAGCACTCCCTGCTTTCTGGCTGTGGTGATGAACCTGATGTGAACGTGCCACAATACCCATGTCGAACCGGGTTTGGGCCTGCAGGGTTTGTTTTCAGTTCCCATGACCGCAGCTCTGTAATAGTCAGAGTTCTGAAGGCTGCTGCCAGAGTAGAAAGAGAAGGCTTATTACAGGTGGACCATAGAACCGAATCACTGTCTGAGGTTTTGTCTGACAGCTGACCATAGGGCTTTGGCCCCAGTGCTGTTTGAAATAAGGCAAGTTGGATAAAGGGCCGGGTGTGTGTTGGGGATGGGTTCTGTCAACCCACCCTTAATTCTTGGCTGGACCCTGGTCCCTCCGGCTGCTTTGTCTGTCCAAAAGCCTGCTGGGTCCTGACTTCCTGTCTACTACTCAACTCTGTCCCAAGAAGCCTCAGCAAACATTTGAGGATTCTTGTGGCTCTGGGGCTCAGGATCAGGGTGGATCCATCCTCACGTATGATCTAGGGACAGGTGCAGGAATGGCTTCACCTGAGAGTGGGGATGTTTCTCACACTTATCAGCTTGATGAGTAAGGGGAAAATTCCTAGCGGTCACTCCCGTAAAAACGGGGACGAGCATATCTGCCTTTAGCAACTCCACAAAGGGGAACTGTCCTCATTAACAACACCAACACCACTAAACCATCTCCGATGAGGTCAGACATGTCTCCCAAACTCCCTCACCTCTTTCTACTAATTCCAACACCAATCTTACGGCTCAACTGGGTCCAAAATTTGTTGCAACATCTTACAGATGGTACAGGACTGTGTTAGGTTGTCAAAAGACTGTAAATGAGGTTGGCAACAAGATACAGATACTCGGGACAGCTTCTGAAATGGGCTGGCAGGCACCGCAGCCGTGAGCCTCGAGGATTTAGGCCATTGTTACAAAGCTCTCAGTTCTGCCAAGTATGGATCTCCCCCAACCCCAGCTGGTCTTCCAATAACTTAGGCAAAGGCTCTTAGCTCTAGTTCAGTGGAATAGCAGTCCCAAGGTGAGCTCTGTCTCACGTCAGGTCTCTGGTTCTATGTTTCACCCATGACTGCTCCTGCTGTAGGTCTAACTGGCACAAGGATTTCTGGCAGCCCTGAAGGGTACCCATTGTATGCCTGCTGTCTCTGTGCTGCTGGTGAGACGGTCAAAATCTGCTGCCCAGGCTCCCAATCTCATTGAATGGCCAGACTAGCCCATCCCCCTTGTGGATAAACTAGCACAACCTATGTGCATATGGCCACCCACCCACATGGCAAAGTCAAACTCAATGGCTAGGGATGCTGTTTTGAACAATCGACTCTTAACACCACACTCCCTATGAGAAATAAATGTCTTTTCTTTTCCAGATGCCCTTGATCTTGCTCTGTTGTAAGCTATTCTCAGGTGGAATGTGCTTAGTATAGTGGCTTTCCTCTGAGACTTTAAGGGAGAGAGGAGTGTGAGGGAAGAAAAAAGAGAGAGAGCAGAAATTTAGAACGAGCAGTCGGGACTGCATCTCAGCCTCTCTTACTGTGTCTAGGTCTCTGGTGGGGGAGAAAGGACATATTGCGGAGGGGGTCTCCAGCAGTTCCAGCACAGATACTCAGCTTAGGGTGGGGGGCACTGGAAGTCACAGCTCCCCTTTTCTATACACAGATTAACATCCATCCGTCTCTACTTATCCACTACTAATACTAGGGTAATCTCTGCCTCCTGGACAGCTTGTTATAGTGGATGTCCTTGTCCTGACTGGTATGATTTTACCTATATTCATCTTATACTCACCCACTGTAGCTTCTGTTAGTTCTAGGTATACTCTCTGGGACTCTCAAACAGGCCTAAGGTCCATGAACTAACTCCTTTAGATATCTGGTTGTGGTTACTTTCAACTGAGACCCGTTGGTCCTGCTTCAGGAGACTCAAGGTCTCAGCCCTTCCCCATCTGTCCACAAGTCAGACTCCTGATTGATATTCCTGTCTTTGTGTGTGTGTTTTACTGGGCAAAAGAAAGTATGCATCACCTAGACTACCAGGGAGGGCAGGACCATGGAGGTGTGTGTACTTCCTCCCCTTGCCTCTCCCCCCAGACCTAGATTGAGCACACCTACTGTGTGGGGAGGGCATTGGTCAGTTGCCCATGGGTGGCTCCCAGTCCCCTTCTCTCCTGTGCTTTCCACTTTAGTGCTTCTCCTTGGGCTCTTGGCCCCTGTTGGAATAGGATCATTTCCTGGCTTCTCTCAGAGAGCCAGAGCTCTATCAAGTTCTAAGTAGATGCCATTCTTTGCAGTGAGAAGAGGGAGCAGCTAGACCCCGTGGAAGGCAGACGTTGTCCACGGCCACAGAGCTAGTGAAGACACACCGCTGCTCCCAGCTTCGGCTCCTGCCCATTCTAATTGCCAGTATCAACTCGACAACCCATTGCCATGAAGTTGGATCCTCCAAGACTGTAAATCACACGAGAGGAGATTACCCATCATTTCCTCTTGGAGTTGGTAGAGTTGAACCTTCAGAGAGTGGTGAGATTTTTGTTAGCAGTTGTGTGACTCCCTAAGGACTAAGCCACCGGAGCTCCCTATGGTCCTGCCATAAATAAGGGCCAGACAGGCAGCAGCAGCAGAAGGAAAGAGGCCAATTAGAGACGGGAACTGAAGGGACCAGAGTGAAGACGCCCTGACTCGTGGGTGCTGGGGAGTCCAAGCTTCTCTGCCCTCCACCAGTTCCCACAATCAATCTCCTCCTTTCTAGCGGAGCCAGGACCCTCAGCAACTCTGCAGCCCCCTGCACTCTGGCATCCTCCACCTCCCCTCCCTGCACTCTGGCATCCTCCACCTCCCCTCCCTGGCCCTGAGAGCACAGTGTCTGTTATCCCATCCATGTAAAAAGTCGACAAACTGAGACCAGATAGAGGAAAGACATAACTCAAAGACAAAGCAAGCCAGTGAGAGCTAGAAATCAGGTTTCTTTACTTCAGTTCTTGGAAGTCAGAGATGAATGAATAAGACACCTAGTGGACCATCTAGGGATAGGAATTTGGGGAATAACAACACAGGAAGCTGCAGGAACTAGCAGATGTGATGTGACTCCACAGCGCTGCAGAAACCCAGGGCACAGAGGCCATTTCTTGTCATAGCATGAGTTGGAGGAAATCCAGGGAGGTTTCCAGGAACCTGGGTACCTGGGCAAGGAGAGGAGAAGAGGGGCCTTGGCAGAAAAATCAATGCTCTAACGTAAGAGTGGGTTTCTTTGGGAAAGGTTGGCCAAGCTGAATTGCACTGGAATGAGAAATTTGGAGCCAAGCTGCGGTGAGACTTAAATATCAGGTTTGTGGGGGCCATGGGGGACTGGGAGGTGAAAGAAGCACTTTAAGAACAAAATAGTGAGCTAGAGTTAGGGCAGAAGGCCCGTCAGGAGCTGCTGTGGAGAGAAATGCAGGGCTACCCAAAAGAGAGAGGGTCTGGGGAGTTAGGGTGGATTCCAGAGGCATCACAGAGGCTTAAGCAGGTAGGACGAGGGGTCTGAGTCTATGTGTGTGAAAGAGGAAGGTGAGGTGGCTGACTCCTAGGGATCTATCTTGAGGAATTGTGTGGCTGGTCGTGTTCTGAGTAGGAAGGAAGGAAATCCTGAGAAGAGGGTGGTCAGATCAAGTTCTGCATGAACCGTGCAGAATCAGAGGTGCTGTATGCAGATTGCTGGAAGCAGGAGTGGCATCCACTTCCTAAACAACATGCCTCCGGAAACTCTATGAACTTTGGTAAATGACGATAGTTATAGAAAGGCTTCAGGCCTTTTCATAGGGTCTCTGTGCTCGACTCGATGGCAATCAACAACAACAACAACAACAACATATGCAGACTGAGGGTGCAGGGCTAGGAGAGAGCTCTGGGCTCATCAAGGGTCACTGGAGCACTGGGGAGGGACCTTGTAGAGCTCCCAGGAGGGCCCTGCTTCTCAGGACCTGCTCGCCAACCGCCTAGCTGCCAGTCCCGTGCCAGAGGAGCCTTTAGAACGTGGCTAATCCAGACCCAGAAGGGCAGCACCCGCAGAGCCCACAACAGAGCCTGAAGAGAGCGTAGAACAGAAAGCAGGGGGAAAAGACGTCTTTAGTATTTTGATGTCAATCGCATCTAGAAATGCTAATGATTTACATATGTTATGTTAAATAAAACAGATTCTAAAAATGAATTTCACCCATTTCTTCCTACTCTTGAAAGTGTAGCTGCTGGAAATTGACAATGATTCCCATGCTTTGCTTGCTATTTCTTTGGCATAAACTGTTCTAGAACATAAATTCCACAGGACACAGGAGTTCCACAAGACGTGGAATTAAGTTTGTGTGGGGGTGGGGAGATAACCCACACCATCAGATTGGGGGTATGAGTGGAGCTAATGTTTGAGAAATGCTGCTTTCCCAACTCTCTCTCTCTCTCTCTCTCTCTCTCTCTCTCTCTCTCTCCCCCTGTGTGTGTGTGTGTACTGTCAAATCCGATCTGACTGGTACAGGAGGAGATTGCCCCTCCTTCTCCAGCAGAGCATCTGGTGGATTTGAACTGTGTACCTCTGGGATAACAGTGCAGCATCTTGCCACTAAGCCACCAGAGCTTCCAAGTTACAACTATCTTTTTACTTTAGGACTTCTCAAGGCCAGCAGCATCACCCATGTGGGTCAGCGTACAGATAGGCCCCGTCTACTGCGAGAAGAGTCTGTAGCTCCCACTCAGTCTTTGTGTTTTGTTTTTTTTCTCTGAGGGGTCTTAGGGGAGAATGATAAACATGTAAGATGAGTAGGAAAAGGCCAGGGGTCGGGGGTGCAGGGGAAGGCAACCAGGACAGAAGTGAGGTGTCACAGAATGAGAAGTGGGGTGCTCAGCAAAGCCTAGGGCTGCAGAGGGACGCGCTGGAGGAGGGGACCCTAGGGGAGTCTCAGCCTGGGACAGAGGTGGCTGAGCTCACACAGCAGGCCGCAGTCGGAAGCGGAAAGGCACATCATAGCTGGGCTGAGTGGTGCCGAAACCCCAGCGCTGAGGGTCCACAGGCGGCACAGGGGTGTCCGGGTCCAGCAACTCCAGGTCAAAGTAGGAGACCATGAGCAGGATGAAGAGCTTCATCTCGCTGAGGGCGAAGAACCTGCCTGGGCAGATGGAGACGCCTGCGCCCCAAGGCATGGTGTAGTAGGGAATCTTTTTGCCTCCCTTGTAGAAGTCCACCTTCCGGCTGCCATCCGGGTTGAGGAAGCGGTCATACTTGAAGGCCATAGGGTCAGGGTGGATGTCAGGGTCTATCTGCACTGAGAGGTAGGGGAAGATGGCCACTTTATCCCCTTGGCGGAGCAGGTACTCCCGCCCACTGGCCATCTTCAGGCTAAAGTCACCTTGAACTGCCCGGATGAGGGTGGGGGACGCGGCCAGGCGCAGCGACTCCTCCATCACGCTGTCCAGCACCGCGGTGTGTTTCAGGAGACTGCAGTCACAGCTGAAGGACTGCCTGGCCTCCAGCCTGGCCTCCCCCAGGATCGTGGTGGCTTCCTTCCTCACAGCCTGCAGGGCGTCTGGGTGCTTCAGGAGGAAGAAGAGGGCCCAGAACGAGGCCGGTCCCGTGTTGCCCTGGGAGGCCCAGAGCATCATGAAGTTGAACTTGTCCTGCATGGCTGGGGCCACATCCTGCTCCCTCAGAAACTGAAGCATGTAGGAGAGCCAGCCGCTGATGCCATCCTTCTTCAGGTTGTGTTTCACGGAGAGCACTTCCTGGAAGAGACGCTGGATCCGGCTCACTTCTTGCCACTCGCAGGGCCCCAGCAGGGAGTAGACAAACCTGGGGAAGAGGCGATCAAATTTCCGGAACTCTACAAATATCTCCTCTGCCTGGACCAGGTCCTGGTCCTTGTCCTCTGTGTAACCGAACAAGCTCAGGTAGCCGGCTTTGAACAAGTTGTTGTAACAAAAGTGAAAGAGGCCATCCTCCTGCCAGCTGGGCTCCTCTGGGCTGCGGCCCTTGGGTCCCAGGATTACCATGGACAGGCTGTCCAGCAAGGCAGTGTTGAGCTCTTCCAACCCAGTTCCCATCAGGTGCTTAGTGCTGGCTGAATGTAGCATCCGGTGGTCCCCCTGGACTGACTGATACCCAAATACTTTCAGCACTAGTTGTTGGGCATATTCAGTAAAATCTAGTTTTTTGTAAGTATCCTTGACAATATTACCGAAGGAGAAGGGGTCCATGATAAAGGTGAAATACTGACCGCCCAGTAGCACGGTGAACACATCCCCGTGCTTGGCCCGCATTCTTTTCAGGAATTCAAACATGTTTTTCCGGAAAGCCATGGCATGGCCCAGCCAGGGCACAGGGCCCTTGTCCAGTGGGGGTTCCTGGGGCTGGCGCTGTCGGAGCAACCCTGGCAGACACAGGGATCCCACAATGGCCACCAGCAGGGCTCCCAGCACCAGACTCCAGAGCACCATGGCTGTCTTCTCTCGCTGAGCTCTGGATACACTGCTTGCTCTCTGAGTACCTGCCAACAGAGGTTTGGAAGGCTTTAAAAAAAAAAAAATCAGGCATGGGCAGGTCTGTGCATGTAGACTTTGCCCTGTGGTAGCAAATGACAGTAAATAAGTGGAATGGTGCCTAGTGATAAAATGTTTCCCTGAACTTTCCAGAGTCTGTCTGTACAGGAGAAACAGGAAGATTCATGGGGAACACAGGGAAATTCTAGTCATATCCATCTTGGCTTGGACCTTTTGACTCTCAGCTCTGGCATGGTTTGCACCAAGCTTTCTTCAACTTCTACCATGTCTTACCACCCATACCTTTACTGACACATCCAGCCATTCATCTATTTGCCAGCTCCTTTAAAAAAAAAATCATAATGCACTCCCATGTTTATTGCGGCTTTGTTCACAATAACAAAGAGTTGGAAACAACCTAAGTGCCCATCAACAAACGGATGGATAGAGAAGCTGTGGTATATTCACACAATGGAATACTATGTTGCATTGGAAAACAAGGAACTCATGAAATATTATTCAAAATGGACGACCCTGGAGGACATTATGATGAGTCAAATATCTCAGACACAAAAGGACAAATACTGCATAGGGCCACTGTTGTAAAACGGAACTGACATAGGGGTTGGGGGGTATATATGATTAGGTGTTATTGTCATGACATGAGTCCAGAATGAAGGCAGCATGGTGGAGTAGACTGGGGTGGGGGGATTGTATAACAATGAAAGAATTTTTCTTCTACAAAATGACGTTATATTCTGATCACATTTAAAATGTATCTGTAAATTAACAACTTGATCTCCCAATGATACAACTGTCTGTTGCAAATCAGCTAATTCAGAATATATTTCTGCATCCATTTGATGTTGATTAGACCAAAGAATTTCTGAGTCTTTATGCCAGTTTTGTACAAACTTGGTGTTCTGTACACTCTGAGATAAGGCCACCCCTGTTTTTGCCGCAGTAGCGGTGACAGCTATGATACCTAGTACGACAGCAAGTAATATTCCTATAAATATTTTTGTTCTTCTTATTAACCCATTTACTAGGGCCTTTATTAACACGGTGTTAGAGGATTCTTGCCATGGTCGGTCCATGTGGACTGGCAACCATAAACTTGCTCCAGCTCTAAGCATCTATATACTTCCAGTATGCACGTTAACATTAACACTATAACTCAAACGTGTACAGAGGACATTTTTTACAGTATATTAATCCACTCTCTTCTTCCCAGATGATATTTCCAATCATAAGTACATACGGAAATTTAACACAGCTTTGTAAATACGTAGTATCATTAAGATTCATTCTAAAAGTAAAATCTTGGGTTTTTTTTTCTTAGAAATAATTCCTCCTCTCCAGCTCCTGACTTTGTCTAATGCTGACATTAGTTTCCAAAGATCCTTTTGATTTAGGAAGCCAGGCAAATGTGGGGAAGGAGGCGACAATCCTCCTCCATGCCAAGTAATATTATTATGTACATAAATACTGATGGACAGTTTTGTTTCCATTTTAAATCTATATCTTTATATTTCTCCCAAGTGGAAGCAAAAGGGCTCCAATCTATGATGCTTCCATAGGAAGTATTAACCAATACTTGGGCAGGATCTCCTTTACAATGAGTCCGGTGTATCCAATTATTTAAATAAGAAAAAGTAGGAGCTTGACATACTGGAAGATCTGGGATATCTTCAAATGAGTAACTGATATTTTTTAACCCATAAGCACTGAAAAGAAACCTATTGCCATGTGAGCTAGTATCTTTGGAAAATGGATAAACATGCCTGATAGATAATCTTTAAGCAATGTGGGTCAGATCCGAAACGCATTGGGGTACCTATAGTTCCTATAGTATAATTGAAAATTTCCCTCCCTTCTTCATTAGGCATTGCTGGACCACGTATATCATCAGGAAGGACCAGGTATCCAGCCTGAATCATTAATATACACAGTAATCATAGGGTCCCACCATGAAACAGCTTTTGACAAAGGAGAATTTGGGATATATATGCCCGATAAGTGTGATTTTCAGTTTTTATAAGAGCTACCTGGGTAAGAAACCAAAGCTAGCATAGCAAGAAACAAAGTGGGTGCATTTAAATTTTGTCCATTCTTTTCCACCAACTTTTCTCCTTCATGGGAGAGGTGTTTCTGCTGCCCCCAATTTGGAAACTTCTCCAGACATGTTCTCTTGGTTGCTTTTGGGTATTGAAGTTTTCTTCTTTGTAGATCCATGTCGGCAAAGTCGGCTGTGAGATTCATCATATTGAACTTCTTCTTATTGGCCATGTTTTAATTTTATTCTTTTTTTTCAGCAATCCAAGTTCTTTCTAATGAATCTGTAGACATATAATCAAAACCTCTTTCCCCTTTGATAACATGATCCCTTTTCCAAACATTAGTAGTGTTATCCAAGTTGTTGTTGTTGTTGTGTGCCATCAAGTCGCTTTCAACTCACAGCGGCCCTATGTACAAGAGCCCTAAACACCATTGTATCCTGTGCCAACCTCGCTGTCTCCAACACACTCATTCCCACCACTCCACTCACAGAATCGATCCACCTCATCCAGGGTCTTCCTCTCCTGCACCATCCCTCCACTCTGTCAAACATCATGTCCCTCTCCAAGGACCACTCCCTCCTTGCAACATGCCCAAAGTATGTCAGATGAAGCTTCAGAATCCTTGACTCGAAGGAGCATTCTGGCTTCACCCTCTCCAGGACAAATCTGTTTGTTCTCCTAGCAGTCCATGGTATATTTAATACTCTTCTCCAGCACCACAGCTCAAAGGCATCAGTTCTCCTTCTATTATCCTTATTCACTGTCCAACTCTCTGATGCATAGCGTGTAATTGCAAAGGCTAGGCGCACCTTAGTCTCCAGCCTGACATCGTTGCTCTTCAGTACTCTTGAGAGGTCCCTGACAGCTACATCCATACTGATGCTGCCAATTGGCCTAGTGGTGAGAATCTTTGGCTAGTCTTATCACAATTAAAAAAAATTTAAGCATATAATGTTGTTAATAGCCTTATATTTAAAATATATAATGCTGTTAATATTCTTTTCTTTGGGGAAGAATCTCCTATAACTCCCCCTTTTTGTTTTATTAAATATTCCTTTAATGTTTTAATTTTTTATCATTGCCAATCCTGTGCTATTTCCTGAAATACCAAAAAACATGTATTATAATAACTATGGAAAATTAAGTTTATGAGAGCAATAGGCAGATACTTTTATAGTGTTAGGTACTTCCATAGTAGGGAAAGCTTTAAGTAAACGTGTGATAACTGAATGTTTTTTCAGAGGCTAAGGCAGTTGCCCAGGAAAAGGATGAGAAAGTATCTACGGAATGATATGTATTTTTAAATTTTTCAAATTCTTGGAATTGAGTAACATCCATTTGTCAGATTTGACTAAGTTTAAGACTTCTAGGGTTAACATGTAATGGTAGAGGAGGATTTATAAAATATATTTGCATCAATTATAAGAGTTAATTTTAGTATAGATGGTAAAATTCATTGTATTAATTTTAAAAGTTGTATTTTTATATCTTTAGGATAAGAATTAGAAAACTTGCTTACAATATCTGACACTACTATTTGCCAATTAGTAACAAATTGATATAAGTTTTGAATTTTTTTTTTTTAGTTAATGATAGTATAATTTTTTCTGGGTCATTACCACACAATTATGTAACCAAGTATGTCCTTTACTAATTATTAAAATTACTTTCTTCACATACATTGCATATGTAGCTTGGCACTTTTATTTTGCAAAAATATTTATTCCACGATATTATTTTGCTGTATTATTAACTCAATACGAGTATATGGAGTAGGAAAAACAAGAAAAAATTCTGCATTATCTTCAGTTCTACTTACCTGAGCTTCTTGTATTATCTGTTCAATGCAAGCCAACTCTTCACTGGCTTTAGGGGTTAATTCTAACTGCTCTTAAATCAATTAGCTTGAAGCTTTCTTTCTCATAATAAAAATAAATTATTTTTAAATGAACAAAGATACCCTTCCTGGTTAAACTAATTCTTTCAATAATTAATTTGACAGTATTTTTTGGAATTATTTTAAAGATATTCATCAATATCCTATAAACTCTCAATTTTGGTATAACAGTAATGTTATTAGAGTTATACTTAATGCAGAACTTCTCAAGGTGGCACGAAATAAATTTAAGACATACTGTCATTGTTTACAATGGGAGTGCTTTTGCTAACAGGCTACTGCGGGCAATTTGTTGGTTTTTGTTTGTTTGTTTTTGGGTTTTTTTTATTATTAAATTTTATTAGTTTTAATGAACATTTACAGGGATTTTGGGTTTTCATTCCTTCATTGCTGCACTGTTCTCTCTACCCTCCTCCCCAGTTTGTTCTTCTTCCCCGGCCCTCCGAATGTCTGTTTTAATTGTCCAATTGCCACAGTGCTTGTCAAAGCCAGTTCTGATTAATCTCCTTTGTCAGTGTGTCCTTTGCCATTCCCTATCACTCCTCCCTGAGAGAGACTTCACCCTGATTCATAAGGAAAAGGGGATGGCGTATTCTCTTAGCTACTTCCTGCTGAAAAGGGACGCTGTGGGTTTCAGGGTGAAGATCTTCTCTCACTACTCTAAAGGGCCCCTTTGGCAGTAGGAAACACATAGACTATTATGGAGATTGATTTTGAAATTTAGATGCACTGTTATCAATTGTGCTTAGACGTACATGTTCATATCCTTGAAGATGTACTGCGGGCAATTTGTGTTGTCTCTTACAGAACCTGAAACGGATGGGCCTTCTTTTCTAACGTCTTAATTTTGTTGCTCTGCTCTTGGGGACATCTTTTTATTATAACGCACATTGCACCTGTGCTTGGGAAAAGCTGCTTTCTTTTTGAGCACTTGAAAAAGTTTAACTCTTTGGATTTTACAGGCAGTCAGTTGTGGGTATAACTTCTATTTTTTACATCTT